GGAGATGGAAGACTTTTTGGTTCCTGAAATAAAACTGTATGCTTCTGTATATCCCTATGAGACAGCTTACTTGGAAAAGCATACTCTTGACACCATTACAAATTGGAACAGCAATACAGTTCAATTCTCTGTTATTTTAACACTAAGGTATTCTGGTTTTATGTGTAAATTAAAACTGGTTTTGTGCAGGAGGTTACACAGATTGAACCAATTTGGCAGGGAAAAAAACATGCACCAGGTATGCAAATATAGTATTAAAATTAGGACAGTTACCTTCTTCAGTGTAATTATATAAGATGTGGTACATTGTGCTTTTTTGTCTCAGGGACTTGAAGTTGAACACTGCTTTACATAAACAGTCAACCAATTTGAGTACGCCTTACACTTTTGCATTAATAAAACCTCTTTAACCAGACCTTTTAATTAGCATCAGCAGCAGTCTGTCAAAAATTGAGCCATTCAAACTTCTTTTTCCAGGATAACTTGTGTACATAATTTCTCTGGAAACAAAATTAGTGTTTATGGACATGTATTACTGCACTGAGTGGTGTGGTCAATATGCCAGAGGGACAGGATGCCATCCAGAGGGACCTGGACAAGTTAGAGAAGTGGGCCCAGGTTAACCTCACAAGGTTCAACAAGGCCAAGTGCAGGGTCCTGCACCTGGGCCAAGGTAACCCAAGATACAAGCACAGGCTGGAGGAGGTCACACTTGAGAGCAGCCCCTGGAAAAAGTACTAGTAGATCAAAAGCTGAACATGAGCCACCCATGTGCAGTTGCAGCCCAGAAGGCCAACTCCATCCTGGGCTGTATCAAAAGAAGTGTGGCTAGCAGATCAAGAAAGGTGATTCTGCCCCTCTGCCCTGGTCAGACCTCACCTAGAACACTGTAGGCCTGGCTCTGGTGCCCCCAGCACAAGAAAGATGTGGACCTGTTGGAACATGTCCAGGGAAGGGCTAAAACCTATTACAAAAGTCCAGGAGGGAGAGAAAGAAAGAAGAAAACCAAACCAAAACAAAAAGAAAAAAACCAGGAGGACTGTCTTCTAAAAGGAAGTAATGAAAGAATTCCCAAATTGTTCATTCTTCATCTAATGTTTTGTGTACCATATGGTTTTTGAATCAGTAGCCACTGATGTGTTCAGTAAGTTTATTTTTAAGGGACTTTTCATAATATTTACCTCTCTACAGCAACAGAAATAGCTTTGAAGGCTGAAATGGCCATGCCTACTAGAACTAATGAAAACAAGAGACATTTCCATGGTGAATGAATCTCTTGACACCATTAGTTCAGGGGATTAATAACATTCAATGTACTGTGCTTCATTTCATCTGAGGTATCTGTGTTTTCAGGCATAGGGTTACCTAGGAAGTAAGGGTATATGGCGTGGTGCAGATCTCTAGAGTGTAAGAACTATGAAGAATTCCAGAATAGTGAAGTGAAAGGTAGAAGTGAGCATGTTACATTTATCAGGAACACATAAATAAAAAGAGCTGTCGGTAAAGAGAGCTCTCACAATAAAAGAGTACTGTGGGTGGGGGACAGTTCCTTATCTGTGTTCCTTTTCCACCTTTACTGTAATTTGGTGCAATCAGAGAATCACAGAATGGTCATGGTTGGAAAGGACCTCTGAGATCACCAAGTCCAACCATTAAAAAACAAGCAAACAAAAAGACAAACAAAAACCCCCACAGCCAAACAAAACAAAGCCCATCCCAGAAAACCCCACAACCCACAACTGCAATGAGGTCTCCCCTCAGCCTCCTCTTCTTCAAACTAAGCATCCCCAGTTTCCTTAGCTGCTCCTCATATGACTTGTTCTCCAGACCCTTTGCCAGCTTCATTGCCCTTCTCTGCACTCACTCCAGCACCTCAATGTCCCTCTTGTAGTGAGGGACCCAGAACTGCACACAGTACTTGAGGTGCAGCCTCACCAGGGCCCAGCATAGTGGGACAATCACATCCCGACTCCTGCTGGCCACACTATTCCTGATGCAGGCCAGGGTGCCTGTTTGTCCTGTCAGAACTGTTGACAAAGTGTTCTCTGTGGAGATTGAGCTCTTTGGAAAGACTTAAATTAAATTTTATTCAAAACAAGACATTGTATAATTTCATAAACTTAACCATAAAAGCAGAAAATAAATCCCAACCTTTGAATAGCTTTGAGGAAAATGCAGCCTCATGTAAGCACTGTGCATCCATCAAAGCATTCAGTCACTGTATCACAAAATGTATTCTGTTGAGATACAAATGCACTATGACTAAGTGCTGCTCTGAATGCTGTTTTTTTCCCCTGTTTAAACACTTTAAGGGTTAAAAGCACAGCACTTACTTTACATTAAATGAACCTAGGCTTTTAAATCTTAGCTGTGGCATGCAGCTTCCCTGTTGGTGAGCACCTGATACCAGCAGTTTGAATGATGTCTGACACTAATTATGTGTCATTCACAAGATTGCCCAGGCAGGAGTGTCTGGAGGAATAAAAAGCTATTTAAAAGGTTTTCATATGGGGTCTTACTCTCAATTTTTTGAAAGCCTTTTCATTTCTTGAAGACCTATGCACTGGTAATGCTGTTGAGGAAATGAAATGCTTTTTAAAGGACTATTAATTAATACTTGAAATGGATCATTCTTGCTTGAAAGCCATATAAAGAGTGGCTTTTAAATGTCATTGTGTGGTAAATAACAAAAATGGGGAGAGATACTTTGTCCTTGTCATACCACCTGCCTTGGTGCTGACACAAAAGAGCTTACCTGGTCAACAGAGCATTTGAAATTAATAGACAGATTAACCCATGGTTAAAGAATTAATTTACCCTTTATCTGCTAATAAATCTTTTTATAATGCTGCATGACTACTGAAAATTAAAGGATTTGGGTTTGGGCCTTATGTATATGCTTCTACGGTCATATTTCTTCCTCTATAGTTTTTAGGGAAACCATTCCCTCCATTTTGTTTATGCATCCACACATGACAGCATTCCCTACAATTCAGTAATGACTTATATTTTTATTGAGATAACTTTCTCCAGTGCCTCTGATTTAAAACTTTTATTTTTCATGCTTATGGTCTAATACTAATAAGCTATGCTAACTAGTATTACCAAAGTAAGGAAATCAAGGAACTTGTAAAAGCAATCTCAGACAGTAACTTGCTGTTGTGAATGGGATCAGGTCAATGTCCAGATAAAAAGGCAACATTTTACACTGTTTTCAGGAAGGCAGACTCACACCAGTTTGGATCTTTCAGCATATGCTGTATTAAGTTATCTCACTGTTTCCAAAGTCTCAAAAGGATGTGTGAAACATCTTTGAGTCCTTCATCACCTTTGTAGAGTCCCACTTGCTTAATTTTCTTCAGTTTCTTCTCTCGTATTCATCAGCTCTTTGAGGAAGCATGTGTTATCAAGCTGTTACTTCCAGGTCACAGTCCAGGATTGAAGAGAGAAAAGGTATAAAAATAGTACTGTTTCACTGTTGGTATTTTACTGAAATAAATACAATAATTAATAAGGTTACAAATTATAAGCACTGAATATTTTAAAATAGTCCAATATTCTAATTAATGATTAATCAACATACTGTAAATGTACTTTCTATGTTTAACCATAGACACAAAATCTGGTTTCCAAAGGGAGTCTTGCACTGAATTTTATCCCAGTGCTGCCTGGGATCAGTGTGGAATGGAATATAAAATACTTCTTGTGAAATGCCTACAGTTCTCTTTTTGAAAGAGGGTATACAATGTATTTGGGTTTCTCCAAGGCTTTTTACATTCAAATGACTTGACATTCTTAAATCATATGTTGAGGGAGACCTCTACAGCTACCGGAAAGGAGGTTGTAGCAAGGTGGAGGTTGGTCTCTTTTCCCAAGTATCAAGTGATAGGATGAGAGGAAACCTTAAGAGCCTTAAGTTGCACCAGGGAAGGTTTAGATTGGATATTAGGAAAACTTTCTGCACCAAAGGCATTGTCATGCATTGGAGCAGGCTGCTCAGGGAAGTGGTGGAGTCACTGTCCACGGTGGTATTTAGAAGATGTGTAGATGTGGTGCTTAGGGACATGGTTTGGTGATGGACTTGGCAGTGTTAGCTTTGCAGCTGGACTCAATAGTCCTAGGGGTCTTTCCAACCTAAATTATTCAATGCTTCTATAATTTTAAAGTTTTTTCTATTAAATTCCATTAGTAGGTGTAAAGGTTCAGCAACAGAACAAGGAGGGCCATAACCCTTACAGTAGAGCACATATTAGATAAAGACTGCTTCACTTGCTTCACTTCTTCTCAAAATAATGATGCTAAGTAGGTACATTCTGTGCATTTAAAAGGGACTAGTTAGAGCCACAAATATATCACACTGTTACAGATTATCTGATTGAATTTGCTGAATTATTACATTAAAAAGGTGCACTGTAAAACAGCCAAGATAAAAGAAAAGATAGAGAAATATTTAAAAAATAATTTTAGTTTTTATATCACCATCCACAAAGCAGAGCAGACTGACACTTCCCTGCATGATTTTGTTGTTGCTCTGTAGCTTGTGTTGCTACTGAGAGATGCCTGCTTTGGGCTCAGTTGGTAATATCCAAACAAGCCCAGAGCTGAGATGAGGGTAGCTAGCACAGGACCTGGGAACCCCACAGTGACCATTTTGCTTTTGAGGGCATCAGCTGGGGCTGTGTTTGCCAGGTAGGCTGAGAGGTGCTGTGCTCAGAGCTGGCTGCTCTCTTTGGGTCTCAGTGTCCCATCTGTACAATGGGAGTAGGATGTAGTTCCTACTTCAGCTGTGTACAGGGAGGATACACATTTTCATGTTCTAAATGGGTCAAATCCTGCAGCAAAACCCTCACTGAGAAGTGATGGTTTCCTCAGCTCTCAAGAGGCATCCAGCTATAGGAGGCCAGAGGTCTTTGCAAGACCTTTCACCCTCCTGCATGGTGTTTGCTGTTATAGATTTCTGTGTGTACTTTCCTTTCAAATAATTTCTTTCTCTTTTCTAGTTTGAGGGCTGCAAGAAAGCCTTTTCCAGACTAGAAAATCTCAAGATTCACTTAAGGAGCCATACAGGTGAAAAACCATACCTGTGTCAGCACCCTGGCTGCCAGAAAGCATTCAGCAACTCCAGCGACCGTGCCAAGCACCAGAGGACACACTTGGACACTGTAAGGAAGCAGAAGTCCCACTGCAATCCCCTCTACATTAAACTTTCCCCAAGCCTGGTGGCAGCAGCTAGCCCATAACCTTAGAGACAGGAAGGAGAAGTGTCTGATGAGTCTGTTTAAGCTGTTCCAGATGTGGCCCGGTAATGTAAGCATGGTTGAAGATGGCTCAGACTAGTTGATAAAAATGCCACAGGTCCATGGGCTTTGCTGTGGGTGAAGGCAGTAACTTAGGTGATCTTTAGGGAGCCTGAAGTCACTATGGAAAGACAAAAGCCATCTGCAATAGTAACTGCTATTCTCTGGCAAAAACTCAGCTAAACATCAGGCTGGGCCATGTACCAGAAAGTCAGGAGAGGAAGAATAATTCTGTAAATCTAAAAATTTTCATGCCAACAAATTGTTGCTTGTGAATTTGAGTCACAGATGAGATCTGTTTAAATACTTTTCTTTCATAACGGGAGATGATGTTTTGTCAGACAAGCAGTTTCCAAAAGGCAGAAGTCCAGAAAGAGAGAACAGTGCCATTTGAAATAAATGTCTGTCACAAAATTTAAATTACCAATTCTATATAGTTGGTATTATGGCTGTTAAGCTAGTAATTTGTACAAGGTGTTTTTGGAAATGCTTTGTGGAACATAAATTGTTAAATTGCAAAATAGCTTATTTCAGCAAACAGTTGGAACTAATGTTCATTTAATACTCTGTACTGTGAACCCAACAAGTCTTCAGGGAAGACAGACAGGTTAGAACAGGCAGAGGGAGATATTTATGGACATTTATACTTATTTGGTGGGTTAGAATTATTCAGCTTTCTCTTAAGAAAGCAATAAACACATTACAGGACTGGTATCTTCCTAAAATGACATGTTATTAGAAAATGTGAGCTGAAGGAGCTTGTCTTGTACTTCACAATAAAATGTGTATTTTGTGTGTAATATTTTTTAAATTTCAGTGTACAATTCTTGCTTTGCTTTTTGCTTGCTCTCTTTGTAAAGTAGTAAACTAACACTTCTTTTTGTTCTCTTTTTCTGAAGCAGATTCTTCTATAATGCTAAACACACTGTCTGGGCATTTACTGCAGTTTCTTTACCTGATTCACTAACGAATGTAATTTCTGATTAAGTCAAAGATTGCTCTGAGGGTGGAAAAATTGTGAGTATAACTTGCAATACTAATAAAAAAATACTATACTGATTTATTTTTTTTTTAAAGGTAACAACAAAAGGTGCCATAATTAAAGCTTTCCTTTGGTTTGTCTTCCTTGGAAGCCTTACTTTCCTCCTTTCCCTTTCAAATACATTAGCAAGCATCCTGCTTACAATAACGTATACATTCAGTTTTGTCTATTAACGTCTATTGCAGCATCCCAAGGCTCAAAAGGGATTATCTTCAGTTAAAATAAACTGTGATGTAACAGTGGCTTTATCCTTTTTCTTTTTGACTTAGAAACCTTATGCATGTCAGATTCCAGGATGTGCTAAACGATACACAGATCCAAGTTCCCTGAGAAAGCATGTGAAAGCCCATTCTTCCAAAGACCAACAAGTCAGGAAAAAGGTAAATTTTCTACCATGTTGACTGGAGAAGTCAGTGTTCTAATACTGGATGTTTCAATGCCTCTGTGCATAACTGTGCTAGTTTCGGACTGTTGATTAGAAAAAAACATTAATGGAAAAGAAAAGATAAAGTTCTTATATATATTACAATCTCATCTTTGACTTAATGACTCTACCTGTTTTAATACTTTTTATTTTCTGATGTGATGATTAATCACTAAACATACATAATGAAGCAATAAAAAAGAATTTTGAAAACAGAATTTTTTGTTTTTAAAGTTCTGCCATGTGGTAAATACGTAGTGATACAAAGTCTAGTTTACATGGCCAGACTCAGATGGAAGGTTAGATTTTGAGAGCAGATGCACAGTATGAAAGATTAAGCTCTGAATTATATTTCCATATGCCAGACAATGTCAAACACCAAGATATTTAACAACACCAGTTCCCTGTGGATGTCAAGTCCATGAATCAGCAGCTGTTTGTATGTATAAGCACATCTTTGAAGAGCGGAGTTGTGACATAAGAGAATGATTTTTTTTCTGAGCTTTTTGCATCACACATCCTTTAATCACTGGCACTATTCCCTTAGATTGTTTAGGTCAGTGAGGATAAAAATCTAAGCTTTCATTTTAAAGGAAACTGATCCTGATAAAAGGGGAACATGCATAAACTAGTGTAAGTGTAGATGAACCTTGGAGATGTCAGTCCCAGGTAAAACAAGTTAGAGTTCAGAAGTTTTATAATCAAATGCACAGCCCTTTGTAGAAAGTAGGAAAAAAAAAATAAATTAAAAATTTCTTTGTACAGCCTTGGAAGCACCATGTGGCAGTCTTAAAATCTGCAGAACATAAATTCAAAGGGTAAGGTTTTTTTCAGTAGTTTGTTGAAGTAGGACATGGCAGCAGAGACCTGCATATCAGCCTCTGAGGGACTGACCTGTAGTATTCCTGAGGAATTCCCTTTAAACTTATGAGTGCCCATTTCTGGATCAGAGGTGAAGTAAATGAGCATTCATTTTCACCTTAATAAGCAGTGCTTTGGCTCCTCTGCTCCTGTCCCAGCAGGCAGGACTGCTGACGGAGGTCTGAGAGCCCTTTTTTGCCTGTCTCAGGAGGGCAACTCAGTCACCCAGACACTGTCTTTTGGAAACATGTAAATGTAAATGCTGATCAAGACCTTGCATTCTGAGAAAATTGTGTGTGATGTCTCTACTAAAACTGGCATAATGAACTTGAATACAGGTATTAAACTGGACTGTAACATTACTCTAACTGACAGTGAAGTACCATGCTACCTCCTCACTCTCACTTTTTCAGATTGCAATACTATGTGGGATTTTCCTTCCTGTGTTTCATTCACTATTTTATTTTGCTCATTTTCCTTTCCAACTTCATGACAAACAGTTTAAACCTGGCTCTACTTACTCCTCAGCAGACTCTTTATGGGCATGTTCTAGACATAAAATTTAATTTTTCATCCCTGTATGTTAAGGATTTATTTTTGCTCATCACCTGAGATGCATTAATACATGGAAGGAGAAATAAGCCAAATCTTCACAAAAATAAAAGAAAAATTGTGGCATTTATTAAGTCAGATACTTAAAGCACGGATAAAATTAGCAATTTATAATGTTTACATGGTACAAGCAGTGTTACTGAACCTTTGAGAACTTATGATTGCTACCTAACATCAGGCTTTGGTATTTGAAATATTTCCTGGCAATAATAAATATTAAGAAACAATCTTTTAATAATGAATAATGTTATTTATGGCATTAATTAAAAGTGAAAATTGGCTTAACATCAAAAAGTCTTTAGAAGAATGTGAATTAATCAAACATAACCATAATTCCAAGGTGATGAAGAGAGAATGGAGTAATAGCTCCAGCCCTAGGGATCTATTCTGTTAAGAAGAATGAAACCCCTTTGCTGTCACACCGTGTTAGCGATGGATTCTTTTAATGTTTTGTACCCAACTGCTTTAATCCTCCTTTTAACCTCCCCTTACACACTAAGTGACATCATTGTGGTGTCTTAAGTAGTTGGCTTTCCAAGATTATACCTGCAAATGTGTCTTTGATGTCGCATAGACTTAAAATATCAGGAGGTATTATATTCGTAACAGCAGAATCAGCTACTTGCTGTGCTAGACTCTGCATTGAGTCTTCAGCCCACATTTTGTAGATCTGTTTTTAAAGTTTTGACCCTTTTCTTCGGCCTCCAAGATGGGGCCAAACAATGCAATGTCATATAGGTAAATTTCCATCTCTGAATTATTTTAAGCAACTTTTGTTGATACGTTTTGATTTTGCTTACCCTGTAAAACAATAATCCTTGTCTGCAATTATTTTAAGGCAGCCACTGTTCCCCTTCTCCTCCCAACACCCAGCCTTTGGCCATCCACCGAATACATTTAATTAGGAGTCTCTCCAGATGATGGGATGAAATAAAATAGACCAAGAAGATCACAACACAAATCCATTTAATGCAAGCAGTTTACTGGACAGTACAACAAACTTTCATTTACTTTTCAAAGGAAAGCAGAAGAGTAAGAAGACCCCATATCTGCTTTAGTCCTCTTTGTGTAATTTGTAAAATTCCTCATGAACATAAGAGCAAACATATACACAGATGCCAGGCAAACACTTGGGAACAGATGCTAAAAATGCCTAGCTAAACATTTTAAGTATAATCTCTATGCATTATAATATCCAGTCTAGTTTAAAAGTATTTTGGTAGGATAAAAAGCAGTGCTTCCTATCTTATTTTAAAAAGTAAAAATTGCTGACTGTGCCTGGATTTCATCTTCCCTTGGGGAGGATGCTTCCCTTCTCCTAAGCAGGGAAGTCAGTTATAGAAACCAGCCAGCATCCAAAATGAGAGCATTAAGTGATGCTGAAGAATGCCCCTGGACTACAATGAGCATTAAAACCTGTCCCCTTCTTTGTCCTCTTCTCCTTTCAACTTTGAAAGGCAAACAATCTCAAAATATTTTTTTTAAGTTGAACAATTACCATGTGATTTTTATTACCACAGCATATAATGGAAGCTAAGCCATGTAAGATTCAAAGGGAACTGGATATTTTTGTTGGTAACGAGACAGGGTTAAAAATAAACATAAGAATTTTAAGGGATATTGGTGCTTCAAGATCATGCTTCAGGATAGAATTCAGCATCAAGCCACGTAAATTAGGGGAAAGTATGGTTATTCTGTACTGCTTATTTGCAGTTTCTCACTCTTTCACCTGAAACGTCAGCCACTATTAGACAACTGCATGGAGTTCAACAGAGCCAAGTGCAAGGTCCAGCACATGAGTCAGGGCAAACCAAAGCACGAATCGAGGCTGAGCAGAGAATGGATTGGAGGAGTGCTCGCAGCCCAGAAAGCCAACTGCATCCTGGGCTGCATCAAAAGAAGTGTGGCCAGCAGGGCCAGGGAGGGGATTCTGCCCCTCTACTCTGCTCTGGTGAGACCCCACCTGGAATACTACATCCAGTTCTGGAGTCCTCAACACAAGAAGGAGATGGAGCTCCTGGAGTGAGTCCAGAGGATGACAACAAAGATGACCAGAGGGCTGGCGCACCTCTCCTGTGAAGAAAGGCTGAGAGAGTTGGGGTTGTTTGGTCTGGAGAAGAGAAGGCTCCAGGGAGCCCTTACAACAGCCTTCTAGTATCTGACGGGGCTACAGGAAAGCTGGGGAGGGACTTTTTACAAGGACGTGTAATGAAAAGATGTGGGGAAATGGTTTCAAACTGGAAGAGACTTCAGCTTCCCAGATGTGTGCTGGAAATGAAATACAGCAGAGAGGGAACAGTCCTGGAGGTTCCTGGAGTGTGTGAAAGACAACTTTCTGACACAGCTGGTGAGGGAGCCAACTAAGGAAAGTGTCCTGCTAGACGTGCTGCTTGTTAACAGTGAAGGTCTTGTGGGGGATGTAAAGGTTGGAGGTTGTCTTGAGTAAAGTGATCATGAAGTGATAAAAGTTCTCAATTCTTGGAGAAGCAAGGGTGGGAGCCAGCAGAACTGCCACTTTGGACTTCCAAAGGGCAGACTTCGGCCTGTTTCAGAGCACAGTTGAGAGTGTCACTTGGGAGACAGTCCTGAAGGACAAAGGAGCCCAGGAAGGCTGGTCATACTTCAAGGAGGAACTCTTAAAGGCAGAGGAGAAGGCCATCCCCAAGTCCCAAAAGACAAGCCAATGGGGAAGACCAGCCTGGCTAAACAGAGACCTTTGACTGGACCTCAGGAACAAAAGGAAGGTTTACAGCCTTTGGAAAAGGGGGTTGGCAACCTATGAAGAATACCAAGATGTCATGAAGCTATGCAGGAGGAAAATTAGAAGGGCCAAAGCCCAAGCAGAATTGAACTTGGTCACTACAGTTAAAGAGAAAAAGAAGAGGGTTTTTTTAGTATATCAGTAGAAAAAGGAAGCCAAGGGAAAATGTAGGCCCACTGGTGAATGAGGAGGACACCTTAGTGGTGGAAGACTCAGAGAAGGCAGATTTACTGAATGCCTCCTTTACTTGGGTCTTCACTGCTACAGCCATCTGTCATGAATCCCAGACCCTGGAGGCAAGGGTAAGGATCTGGAGAGACAAGAACTTCCCTCAGTAGACAAGGACCAGGTTAGAGACTGCTTGGACTACCTGGACATTCATAAGTCATAGAATCTATACTGTCTTGGGTTGGAAGGGATCTCTAATGATCATCTAGTACAACCCCCTACAATAAGCAAAGACATCTCCAACTAGAGCAGATTGCTCAGAGCCCCATCAAGCCTGACCTTGAAAGTCTTCAGGGATGTCCCCCTGACCTCTCTAGGCAGCCTTTTCCAGTGATCCATCACCCTAATATTAAAGAATGAGTCCATGGGCCCTGATGGGATGCACCCGTGAGTGCTGAGAGAGCTGGCAGATGTTATTGCTGGGACACTCTCCATCATCTTTGAAAGGCCATGGAGAACACGAGAGATGCCATCACTCTAGTCTTCAAAAAGGG